TCTAAATCAATATATTAGAATTTTTAACTTGCAATCATGCATTTAATTAAGTGGTGATAATAGGGCCACTAAGTTACTTTTTAGAGTGTACCATTTAAACTATTATCAATAGTATCAGTAATTAGAATTGTCCTCCCTTGGAGGAATGTGTCTCTCTGACCTCCATGTACTTTTATTTAAATAATAAGTAAGCAGTTCACAATTGGTATGAGGAACATTTAAATCTATCCCGAGAACTGGTATAACGGTCACTATGAATTTGACTGAGTAACTTTAGACAGTTAAAGCGCAGTAGACAATTACTTTATTTCTTGAGCCATTGTTCATCTTCCTTCTTCATCATACTTCATACATATTCATATATTAATAAATAAATACATTTGGGAGGGCTGCAGGCTGTGTCAAAATCAGTAAACTCAGTCATTCTGTTACTTTGTTAACAATGCAATGATGAAGTGTGAGCATATTTCACATTCAGTTGTTATCCCAAATAAGACATAATCAGAGACTTGGCATTATGTTGTTTATTTTTGGAACATATTTATATACAACATCTAACATGCTAATTCAGTTCAGCAACCAAAGTACAATGAGTGAAAAATATATTTATCAGTAGAGAAAAAAATACAACTAAACACAAATTCTGGGTGACACCTATCGCAGCCATGGCATTATCCGCCCCATGTTGACAGGAAGTGCTTCAGGCCACAGGCATTAAAGTGAACTGCTCCATGACTGCACTCAACATTAATTATAAATGAACCCGTCAGATTGGGTCTTGATTTGAATGAACTGACTACATTCAGAATTTTTGCTGTTTGTGTTTTGTTCCCACAGTAGAGTCATGTGTCCACAAAAAAGGTTTATATGTCTTTTATATGAGGTTCAAAGGTCACTCCCACAGAATGTCACTGGGTTTTTGGCTGCATAAAGGGTCCTTCTTTTCTATTTTTTGAATCTGTCCAGAGCAGATCTCTGGTTAGATAATACTGCTGCCTTCTTCTCCCTCTGCTTTTTCTCTTTTTCCATTTTCATTTTGTCTTCCACAGTCTTCCTGATAACATCCTGGGGTAGGGTCAGGAAAAGGGGGTAGAGAAGTCAAGACGAATGAGCCAAACACTGCAGATATACCAGACGGATTATAATGTCACTGCAACAATCTTTGTCATATATTTAGGATTACTTACCCTCTGGTCCTCATGAGCCACTTGTTTCTTGCGCTTTTCAACACTGCCAGCAGAACTACGCCCTTTTTTCTTATACTTGGGAACAAATTTTTCTTTGGCAAGTGGGTCAAAGCCCTGGGAAAACAAAAAAATGCTTTTAGGAGGCTGTAAACAACAATCAGCCTACTATGATCAAAAAAAAGGATATCTTAAAATAAAATTGGATGTTTGACTGACCAGAGCTTGGACCCTGTCTTGGTGCCTTTGCTCAAAGGTGGCGTGGTCAACCCGTCCCAGTTCGCTGGGGTCAAGGCTGATGAGCTCTGGCTGGATCTTCTCCAGCAGAGCTTTAACCTCCCATTCCTGCCTCTGCTTTGCACTACGGTAAGGATTTGCATCTAGACCATCGAAATTAGGCTCTCCCGCACCTGTAAATGTAAATGGAGGAGGACAGAAGTAAAGATGGAAACAGTCAGTTTCAATTCACAGACAAATGTAATGCATAGATAGTTTTCTAAATGATAACTGAATATAGTTCTAGTGATGGCAGGTTTTTTTTTTACACATCAGAAAATACACATGACCTAAACAAGCTGAAGCTCTCATGATGCTTTGTGCAGCCTTGTTGGTTCGGCTTACTTTGGATTATCTAGGTATAATGTGAAATTGAGTAGCACCTGGTACAAGCATGCTGGTGAAACCCTCTCCGTGCCCCACCCCAAGGACATCCTCAAAGGGACAGAAGTGCAGCCCCCAAGCTGTTCCTCGAACTCTGTGAGCCATGTAGGGTTTAGTCACCGGAGTGCTCCACACGTCCCTGTATACCTGCAGAGAAACAGTTTCCAGATGCAGATGAAGTAATATGATTTGTATCGCTAGTTTAAAAAAAAAAAAGACTGCTGTGTTATAGGTAATGTGAAAACAACAGATTTAATCTTTGGTGAGAAGGAGTCAGCACAGACATGAACTTTTATTTAACCCGTTATCCTCGATAAAAAGACAAAAAGTCAAAAAGATGTGTGTTGTTTCTGTGTTGTGAAATTCCTCAACGACAGCTTTTAAATATAACACTATAACATAACTATATCTGTCTCAGAGCTGTGTCTCTATTTCCCCTCTTATTCATACCAAAGTCCTTTATGGAAAACTTCCTTGATCATTATTAGGAACTTTTGAGACAAGAATTTCACTATTCAGAAATGTCACCAACACCGTGACATTTCATTTTCAATATACTGCGTCTGTGTTAACACTATTTCATATCACTATGAACTGTCATGACAAAAACACTTGTGCAAACACATCACCTTCTCTTCGCTAGATAGACGGATCATTAATTGTAAAGTGTGGAGATGATAAAGACCTGAACAATATCCCCCGTGGCTGCAGACAGCAGCCCCCTCTGGCTCAGTGACAAACAGGAAGCTCCAGCAGGGAGGAAGTAGGACTTGAGGGGCTTGAAGGTTCGAATGTCATATACCTTCAGCTTTTTATCCATGCCAGATGTCACCATGTATCTGCCAAAAGAGGAAACCATAACAACAGATTGCTCTCTGGAGGACATTGAAGGAACTGCAGTTCAGTGCTCACAACTGAGATAGTAGTAGTTAATCAACCTGACTGGATTTCTTCAAAATTGTTAACAACTCACATGTTCAATTCACAGCCTGTTACAATGGAAATATGCATTAATGGGGACATGTGAAATACTGTATTTATCAATAACAGGGATGTCATGAGAACCAATAGCAAGTTGATGCAAAACTTGACGAAAACTTGACGGTACTTGTTTTTCTACAGTACCGTAGGTACCGGGGATGCAATTCTTGTAGTCCATGTTTAAGATGGCATCAAGTGCAACGGTACAAGTTTTTTACTGGCAAAACTTTAATGCAGTGCATTAATTGTAAACTTTCTCCGCTGTCTGTCTCTGTGTGCAGCTCAGCCCACGGACCGCAGCACAGTGGCGTGATGAATGTGCAGCTGTTCAAAGCTGCACACTCATCACGTCAATGCAAGTGCAACAAAAGCCCACGGAACAAAAAACGAATAAGAGTAATTTATTAATGTAATCCGCTCAAAACATGAACAGACGTTGAAAATAAACACTCAGCAGAATACAGTCCATTTAGGTGACTCAGGCAAAGGCTGCACCTTAGCAACACAGAATGAAGGACACTTTTATGGCAGAGAGAAATTCCCTTGAGACAGTGACAACACCAAAAACAAATAACAGAGAGCATTTGTTAGGCTATTTATAGCCTACTTTGTTATTTTGTTAAGTATAAAGTATAAAATATTCTTAATGCAACAAAGAGCGGTTCACCTGTATTATCTAGGAAAATAATACAATAATTATTGGATTGGAGCTCACTTTCAGCAGATACTCAATATTAAATGGAGAAAAAAAAAAACTTGATCAGACATCCCTATTTTTTACTGTGGTATAAAGAAATGGTTTAGTCAATGATTACACTGATTTATTACTCTCAAAGAATTAAGTAAAATACTACATTTTTACTGGGACTACTGTGAAGCAGCCTCTATGTTATATACACAGACAATTATCCACAGCCTTCTGCCTGTAAAATAAATCCAATATCTATCAATGTAAAGTTTTAAGGTGACTCACGTGCCCGTCTTGTCTACAGTGACGGAGCGCACACCGCCCTGGTGACAGAGCATCTTGACAAGTGCTTCTTTCTGGTTGGGCGACCAGAGGGTAACCGTGCCGTTGTGGTGGCCTAGGTGGATTATGGCATTATGAGGGTTCTGGCACATCACGTCAAGACGGCCAGTCTTGGTGCAGATGGCTGCCACCTCCTTTCCCACAGACACATCCAGGTACTGCAGGAAACTTGTAGCACTCTGAAGACAAGAGTAGAGAACAAGACAGTTTGTCAGAGCTGACTACGGTTATTGAATTCTGGTAAATTTAAAAGAACTTTATGCTGGATTATGGGTTTTCAAACTGTGAGGCACTGAGGGAGGGATGTGAAACTGCAAAGGAACAAGTACATGCTGGTGCTACAAACAACTTGAATTATAGTTTGTACTGCTTATCATTACACACAGCTCATAAAAGCATTTAATGATAACAGTCTGCGTCAATATTTGTACCCATTTTAACTGTTGTAACTGAATCAAGTCTAAACACACTGACTTGATACACATATTTTAAGAACATCCAACATTATTACCTAGCGTGCATTGCAAAGATATGTCCATAAATGGGCTTAGAAATCATAGAAAAAGACGCTCCTTAAACTGGAGAATTTTACTTGTTTTCTTCAGTATCAGAATAATCAGAATAATCCAGTGATAGTTGTCTATACATCCATGGATACATTGCAAACAGGAACTGCTAATAGCTAATTTGGCATACTTTTAATGGTGCCAATTTGCCAAAATGTAAAGAATTATAGGCTAAAACAAAACATTTTCAACCTGGTCTGAGGGGGGCCCACAGTGTCATGTCAGACTTTAAAAACACCTCCTATAGATTAGTTTTGTAAGCGCATACATGTTTATGTATATAAACTGGATATTGTCTATATTCTTTTGTAGTGTGGGATAAGTTCTCTTGTTTGTTCACTGCAACAATGCTATGTTTCAATGCTGCCCTCTGCATAAGGTTAAACCAAAAGAAAACTTCTCTCAACCGAACGTCTGCTCAGAGTCTGTGGCAAATTCAGCATCAAACAGAAGACAGCTTTTAGTTATTGTGACAATGTATATAGAATAAACATGCAATACATCATGCGTAAAAATCTATAAGAACGGTTTTAATGAACACACCGCTGTGGCTAGCAAAAAGTGGTATGGGAGGAACTGCATGCGAAGGACGTCATTGAATTTGCGGATGCAGTGAAGCTCTATTCCATTGGAGTCGTAGATATACAGCCACTTCTTCTGGGCCACCGCATACATTGTCTCACTGTGGAGCCACCTAAACAAAGGCAGACATGGATTTTACTTGGAGAAAGGATGTTCAGTTGCTGGTAAGAGAAGCATGATGGTAATATAACATGTTTTGTGCTGCGCAATGTAGGGTCGGATGACTTACTTTACATCATTCACAGACTCCATCACGTTTATCTCACACATTAACTGTTTGGACTGCCAGTCAATACAAGAAACATGGCCTCTCCTCCCACCAAGCAAAAGGTGACTGAAATGAAGAGAACACAGTTAACAACATACACACAACTCAAACATTTGAATGGATATTTATAAAAGGCTGAAAGGGCTTGCTTGTAATGGAAAACTGACCAAAGTTCCTGCGAACTCTACAGAACGTTTTATTCTTTTCTAATTTAAATACCATATTTGAATATTTTTTTGTACATCATCTTTGTATGTAGCACAGAGAGGGGGTACAACTACATGTCACTGTCCAACCATGTACTGTATAATGACAATGAAACCTGAATGACCCTTGAACCCCAACCCCAAGACAAACACTTCATACCGGCCGGTCTTGCTGTAATCCAGTCGATATGGTCCAAATTGAGGCAGTCTTAGATTAAAATACTGAGGAAATGGAAGAGAGAAAAAACAAATTTTAAAAAAGGCAAACTATCTGACAACAACATAAGACCTGGGAACCTATATATAAAAGGGCCTTTGTAATTCAACTTAAAGGTCCAGTGTCTAACAGTTATGAGGATCAGGTGTGTTTTCTACGGCTGCACCTGAAAATCTCTTGACTCACATTTTATCAGCCGAATATCTGCAATTTTGTTTTTTAGCTGTACACAAAGAGTACATGTACTTTGATTTTTCTATTTGTCCCATGTTCCATTTGCTAACATGGAGGCAATGGGCTCTATGACCTATGCTGCTCTCAATAACCAGAGGACAATTGAGATGTTTTCTAAACAAACAGTGTTCTAATAGCCCTCACACCCTTGTCTTTAAATAAGTTGGCAACACCTCGTGCTACAGGGGAGCAAGAACACAGAGCCAATGTACTCTGTGTCCTTGTCTAGTATGGGTGGCAAACCTGGAGTGCACCAGCAGACAATTTACATAAAGTATGCCTACACTAGAAATTGCATACACTCAGAAGAAAAAGTGAAATTAAACAGATATCCTATCATGGGTTTTATTAGTTGTTAATCAAACAGTGAAATTAACATATGACCTTTTATAAGGTCAAAACAAACATGTTTTACAACTCAGGCAGTCTCAGTAGGGTTGAGTCAGTGTCTCACCTTTGCCCCAGATGTTATATCTACAGCATCTGCAATATCTTCCTGAGAGACTGTACATGTGTCTTCATCTTCATCTCCTTCCAGAAACCTGAGATAACAGAGAAATATGTCACAATCAGTTTTCAAAGTGTTTCACAGTTTTCATCATTTAATCTCTGTCATATTGTACATGAGACAAAGAAATTACCCTGCATCCTCTGGGAGGAGAAGGTCAAACCGGGCAGCTTGTTTCTGAGCCATTTCGGAAGCTTCTTCTGAGCGAGCTATCACGTCTCTCAGCTTGTAATGCTGGTGGTGAGGCTAGGATTAGAAGAATAAAAGGAATGAGAGGTAATAGTGGCAATGGCTAACGCAGCTTATTTACTAAAAATTGTAAATGAGAGACATTGGGGGGCTTACCTTTTTTATTTTATCTTTCCTCTTGAACTTTTGCACCCTGTCTTCTGGAATAGGAGCAGGCCCAGGGAAGGGATCGGATTTCTGAGGGAATATGAACATTGCTCAGAAGAAATACACTGGATTTAAACACTAAATTGAGGTAGGTTAATGAACTGGGAGATATATTGATATAATCTCAATACGGAGCATGAAAATAGAATTGACAGGAATATATGTGTATTGGTATATTGGGTATTGCAATATTGTGGTATAGCTTAAATATTATGTTCTTCTGGCCATAGATGCTGCATCACAGTTAAGGGATGCACTGCACTCAACATTCAGTAGAGGGCGCTTTACTCAATATACTATTATTTATTTTTTATTATTTTACTATTAACTATTATATATATATATATATTATATATATATATATATATATATACTACTAAACTATACTATATTGTAAACAGAAATGTAGGCACACCTTGTTTCTGCATTTCAAAGACACTAAAAATGTAAGTATGAAGTTTGGGGAAATGGGAATCAGTCGAGACATGTACATGTCCTGTCCCTGGATTTTTCTTTTTTTGTTAAATGAAATGAAATTAATATATTTATTCACTTATGTTGCTACAGTAATGTATTAACAGTGTACCATTATAAATTATTAGATTTATGTGTGTAAATGGCATTCAGTATACCAGAAAGTCTCATCTCTGTTGAAAGTTCTGCTATCAGGTGTTTGCAGTCATTAAAAAAATGTTTGGGGTGTATTTCTGAAAGTGTAAAGGTGTATATGTCACTAGTGTTAACCACTGAAGGTTTGCATTAAATTAATTTTAGTACAGTAGACTTTAAGAAATGTTTTTACATTTTTATCTTTTTTTACATCTTCAAAACCTTCACCGTCTTTGGCCCATACAATAGACTATTCACTATTTCTAATAGATGTAATGCAGCTCACTCCGTGTAAACATATGACTTCAATGAAGGGTGGAAAGACAGCAACAACATCATATTAAAATTATTTTGGTAGATACCATGATTGCAATATGATTCACGATTATTGTGAGAATGATCATTTATGCACCACAAATGTAGTTTTCACTGCAAAAAAAACAAAACAACTATTAAAATCATGAAGATGTGAAATTTGTTGGGGTTTGCACCAAACACACACGTTTTCTTAAATCTGGAGAATAAGATTTGTAGGCCAGAGCCTCTCTGCAGCACTACAGTACTTCATTATAATACTGTTTTGTCACACATTTACCTTTCTCAAAGGTGCAAAAGTGTAACATGCAATTTGCATTATACGATTTGGTAATATTTAAATTAATTGTGCCCTATATACCCATGATATGAAGAAACCCAGAAACATGTCACATCATAGATATTAAATAAACAATATTGTGACATCTTGTAGATCCCACCACTCAGTGACAACTTCACACATCAGTCTTACCCCTGATATGAATTTCTTTCCATCTCTATGATCCTCTTTTTGCTTTCTTTTCTTCGCTTTCTGCGTCTTTTTCTTCTTCTGTTGCACAGTCTGTTCGGTCTGTTCTCCGTCTTTCCCCACTTTGTCTCCATCTTTCCCCTCCTCCTGTGTCTCCTTCCAGTAACGCGCTGGAGGCTGCGAGAGAGGAGCAAACGGAGGGAAGTTAGCAGCAGTGACTTTAAGGAGAGGACACAGAGTTTAGAGTATTTATTTGCCCACAATCGGGCTCAGCTGGCCTCCTTCGGGCCCCCGTACAACCGCGCTACGTGCGTTAGCTGGCTGATGCTATCAGATAAAGCTCCATTGTGTCTGTCAGTGAGAGAAATGTCTGTGCTGGTCCGTCTGAGCTGATATTAATCACAAGTGTCGTCCTCTCACTGAGGATTTATTCATAATTACCGTCTTCTTTTTCCCCACGTGTGATTCGTTCACCGATGCCTCGCCGGGGACCGCCATCTTTGTTGTATACGTTTTTCAGTTCCGGGGACGTCACTGAAAACGTCACTTCTGGTTTTATATTTATTATTTATTTTATTTTTTTTATTATCAAATCCTGCAAGTAAGTAACTGACAAAATAAAACATTGTGTACATGTATTTTTTTTTTAAATGGTAGAAATAGTATTTTGACAAAACAATATCGTCTTCACTTTGTTTTTAATGCCAATACCGATATCAATATGTTAGAGTTCTGATAATGATTCTTTCTTTTTCTAAATAATAACTTCATGTAAACAAACATGTGTGATAAGGATATATCTGTAAATACTGTGACGAAAATATACTATACTGTGTGGGACAGTTATCTACGGAGCCCCCCTGGTGACATTGGATAAAAAAAAATAACGCGTGGGCACGAGTTAATTATTGCAGTCATTTCCATGCAGAGACTGTTGATTGTTAACATGGACAAGTTTTAACTAATTTCATTTTATTTTAATATAGGAAATGAAACTACAAATGACATTACTTCAAGTCACTTTCGGTTAGGCCATGGAGCTTAAATTTAGCAAGAGACACTTAATTCGGCTGCTCAAAATGCATGGACTTCAACGCAAGGAATATGCTGATGTCGGGGAAGTCATAGATTTCCCACGCAATAACTATCTCGTGTCGCCACGCATTATTATTATTTTTTTTATCCAACGTCACCAGGGGGGCTCCGTAGTTATCAGACAAACATAGTGGAGTAAAAAGTACAATATTTCCCTGTCAAATGTAGTGGAGGAGAAGTATAAAGTAGCATAAAAATGTAACATACTCAAGGACAGTACAAGCACCTCAAAATTGTTCTTTAATAGTAAATGCACCACTGCTTGTTATTAACAGGGATGGAGACTGGACTACTGAACAGCCCATGGCATGTATTTAATTGCCTATTAAACCAGTGTGGTCCGCCAATGTAGTTGCAGTACAATGTAGATATAGGGATGCACGATAATTATCGGGGCTGAGACATTATCATCCAATAATGGGAAAATTATAATATTATGAATCCTGATACTTAAATTATAGCAGATAAATAATGGGTCAATAATAACAAAAACATAATTGGAATTACACAAAACGATTGGTAGGTTTTATGTTCTATGACAGTATGATTGTGAAGTTTTTTTTAATCTACTTAAATAATATAGGCTATATATGATAATAAATATTTGAAGAGTCTGTCAGTCAGAACTGTTATTCTTGTGTTAGCAGTAGTGATGTCAGTGTTTTGGTTAGGTCAGAGCTATGGAGTATCAAATCTTTCTATCTTTTTTTACTACTTCTCAGCCTTTCCTACAAAGTGTGTAAAAACTACAGGTTATGAACTTACTTTTAAAATGCAAAAATGTGAAATAGTTTATTTTCTTATTGGTATTGGCCATGAGAGGCAGGTCATTACCAGTTATTGTATCGGCTGACAAAAAAATCCATTGCGTGCACCCGTAGATATAAAGCCAGGTGAATCTGCAGAGTATCTGCTCTTTGCTTGGGTGCAGTCAAAGGCAGCTCAAAGGTACATTAGTTAAGGGGTGAATGGCGTGGCCTGTTAAAGGGCTTGGTAGACTTGTGACAGCAGGTTTAAAACATCAGGAACCAGAACAAACATGAATCTTTGGGAAAAGGAATTCTACAATTCCTTTTGCTAACCTTTCACACATAAGAGGGTGAAAACTGCTTTCAAGTGAAATGTGTGGCAGTACTGATTCCCCAACTCTGAACTCAAAGAAAAGGAGCATGAGCACTCAGACTTTATTTTAAATGTGAAAAAATACCTCTTCAATAACATTTCTCTTTAACAATTCTTCAATAATGAAATAATGCTTCTTCATTGTAAAATTTGAAGTACAGAAGTAAGTAATTGTAAACATTTTAAGCACTCTGGTAGTCTACATCTGAAATTTTATTTAATGTATTTGTTTATTCTTGACATGTTGTGTAAGTGTTCCATCACACACTTCTTTCTGTCATCACTCTGTATACCAGACATACAAATTTACTTGTTTTTTAAATACAGTATGCATGAATCTCTTTCTCAAAATAATGCTGAAGTATTGCGACATACTCACAGCTATACATTGCCCTTACAGTCATGTGAGCATTTTTTAAAACTTCCTCCCCAGACTCACTGAAAAGTATTTCTGAAAATGGGCCGAGACTCTTTATCTACATACAAGAGGAGTTCTCTAGGTCCTAGAGTCTAGGACACCAAAGACATACTGTTCTTTGAGTTTGCAGAACTAAGCTGTTGATCTAAGAAGAACACCGCAAAAAGGGAAGCCTAAAGTTTTCTTCTTCCTATGTAATAACCCTTAAAGCACTTTAAAGTAGAAAGAATGCCATGTGTTTTGAGGTGAACCCATTCACACTGTGTAGACAATTCCCAAGTGGCTGGCATTTATTTTCACTATGTAATTCTTAAAATCAGGAAATTCTTCCCAATCAGGATACGTAAGTAGTAAAATCTGTTAAAAGTTTAAGGTCTTATTTCTGAATCTTTGCTGTTAAAATTCTTGACTCTAGCAAGTAACTGCAAACATGCCCACACTGAGTTGAAGGGAAGGGGAATAAAGGGTAAAGACTCAGGAAATGTGGAACAAATTTGGAAGTACAGGGAGGGGCTGGACTTTCATGTCACATCTGAGACTGATACTCAAATTACAATGGAGACGGAGTTATGCAACAAGACGAGAGAGGGGAAGGAAAACAGCTTGCTTCTCTGGGAAAAACTACAACAGGAGAAGAGGAGAGAAGTACAACAGAGAAACTAGCCACGATCAGAATGTCTGCTAATCAGGACAAGGTATGTGTCTAAATTAATCTCTTCGAAGCTACAGTGTACTTTACTTTCAAGTGGAGTTCATTACTTGTTAAACAGGTAATGCTGAGCTGATGAGAATGAACTGAAGTATTTTTAAAATGCCATGAATATCTTGTTTCTGTCCTTTTCAGATGACTTGTAGAAGTAACTTTTTAAAACAATCTGACTTTACTATCTGCAACCGAGAGTGAACAATGTTGTTTGCATTCTTTACTGCACAATTAAGTGCTGCCCCAGTAAGTATCTTATCTCTTGATTCTTTTCTCTTCTTGTAAAGACGGATATACCTTCTCGACCAGAGCTGTTTGATTTCCACGGAGTCTCAATGGTCCACTATTTCACAGACAACTGGGAGAACGTTCAAAACTTTCAGGCCAGGCCAGATGATATACTTATTGCAACATACCCCAAAGCAGGTCAGTCCATATGGAGTGTTAGTGTAAATGATTAATAGCTGATGAAAGATGTGTGTATAGAGGTGAAAATATGGGCTTTTTTATTTTCTTCTGTGTGTGTGTGTGTGTGTGTCTTTCTTTTAGGAACCACCTGGGTCTCCTGCATTCTTGACCTGCTGTATTTTGGTCAGAAATTCCCAGAGCGTCAGACATCCATCCCAATCTATAACAGAGTGCCATTCTTGGAGATCAAGATCCCAGCTATGCATTCAGGTTGAACAGACAAATCAAACGTACTCACCATATTTCACGAAACATGCATCACAAAATACTTAATCTAATTTAACATTCAGTATACAGTGTGGTTATATTCTACCTTTTGCTTAAACTTAAACAGACTTAATCATTATATCTGAAAGGTTCATATGCGTTTTTATTAGTATCATATTTCTAACAAGACATTCTATTTAGCACAGTCAAGAATTTAAGCACTTGTACAAGGTTTTGCTTACTCCGTCTTTATCTCTTCTAATAGGAACTGACATAGCGGAAAACCTCCCCACCTCTCCACGACTCATTAAAACTCATTTTCCAGTACAGTTTGTGCCAAATTCCTTTTGGGAGCAAAACTGCAAGGTCAGTGGTTTATTTGCATGATATCAATGTGATCACAATATGTTAAAATAGAGGACAAAGTAACTTCACCATTGTTAAGGACTCATATTTCCTTTAATGGCTGAATGGTGAGAAAAAGAAGTAGTAGAACTTAAGGCATGTCTACTAATAGTTACTACAACAAAGACATATGTGTGTGAAAGAACTGTTATCTTCTTCCATAGATAGTCTACGTAGCCCGCAATGCCAAAGACAACGTGGTCTCTTTTTTTCACTTCGATCGCATGAACATGGTTGAGCCAGAGCCTGGAGACTGGAGCAGCTACCTCAACAGATTCATGGAGGGAAAGAGTATGTATAAAAAATACAGTAACCTCCACCAAGGAGGTTGTGTTTGTCTGTCAGCTGGATTATAGAATAACCATCGGCCCAATTTTCATGAATTTAGTGGAAAGCCTTTAGCATGGGCCAAGGAAGGAATTCATTAACGGATACACAAATCATTTTTCATTTTCATGAACTTTGCGAGATCAGTCAGTTGCAACAAAGTGAACTGAATCTGTTGCGAATGCTAAAGTAAACGGTGTGCCGTGACTAAACATACAACAAAGCGTAACAGTCATCTCAAACATCACAGTAGAAACAAATCCAGCAAGTAAGAAAAAAACAATCAGGAATGTCATTTTCCTGAATTAATACAGAATTGTGCCCTTGTAGTTTTTACTGGAACAGAGATGCATATATTTCTACTAAACACAACTGATTTGTTTTTATTTATTGTTATGTTGCTTTAGTGGTGTTTGGATCCTGGTATGACCATGTAAACGGCTGGTGGAAGAAGAAACAGACCCATTCAAAACTCCATTACATGTTCTATGAAGATCTGATTGAGGTACTTCAGTTGTTTTTGTGGGTTCTTCCAATTTACACTCTCCTTTTGCTGGTATATGCAATGATGACATCTGATTGTGTTTCAAGGATACTGGACGGGAACTAGACAAACTCTGCTCCTTTCTCGGCTTGTCTCCTTCCGCTGAGGAGAAGAAAATAATTACAAGTGGAGTGCAGTTTGATAATATGAAAAAGAACGACATGGCCAACTATTCTACACTCCCAGTTATGGATTTCAAAATTTCTCCTTTCATGAGAAAAGGTAACCTGATAAATAAACTAAATGTGTCTGAAAAGAAAAAAATACTCTGATCTCCACCTTTATGTAGAATAATTGACTGACTCTCTGTGGTTCTGCAGGGAAGGTTGGTGACTGGAAGAACCATTTCACTGTGGCCCAGAATGAACAGTTTGATGAAGACTACAAGAAAAAGATGAAGGACTCCACTCTTCAGTTCCGCACTGAAATCTGAACAGGATTGTACAGTCTGTGTATATGTGAAGATTGGTCCATGACTTACGGGATATGTGGCATTTCTGTGAACAAGTTATAGTTACCTTTAATGTGATAGCAGAGGTGTGGAGTGTGTCTTCTTGCTCTCTGTTAGTAAAGAAGGCTGTGAAGTACATATTATAAAGCACAGAGCAAATCAAATGACTAGTGATGTATGAAGGTGAGTATTTCTTATATATATATATTAACAAAAGCCAATCATTTATTTAAAAAAAATCTTTAAATACAGAAATGTAGGCTTTGAATTAATATTTTGTCCACCATATTACCCAAATATATGCTAGTCTCACTGTGTGTAATTAATAAACAAACTGTATTTGATACTCTCAAGAGTAGATTAGTGTCACTAAAATGAATCCAAAGGTTTTCATATTTTATACTATATATTTTATTTGCAATAAAACAATAAGACCTTGTTTAAATTGTTTGCATTGTTGTCTTCTGTATGAGATATTTAATTAAATGATCAGAAAATAAAAAAGTATAGAGAATATGGAATTGATGTCACATGCTCCACTTGATACAACACCCTCGTTACCACTGAGCGGAGGGTGATCATGGGGACCTCTGATGTAGTGTCCACAGTTGGACGTTATGATGCACAATTCCCATTTGGTCAGCTCAGTGTTGGATTTAATTTTCTTCAGTATCTTCAATTTTCTCTTGTTAGTTTATCATGTGTCATATCAACTTAAAAGATGTATATTTTTTTCAACAAATCAACAAATCCCATGAAAAAATGAAAACCAGCAATTAATTGATCCCACAAACTAGAATTGCATGTATAGCCTAGATCTGATATAGCTTATTCCTCCACCTCTGGCTCTAAAAAATTGGCGATGGCTAAAATGCCAAACATGAGGCTTCAAAAGAATACTCCACAAAGCATGAACTGACTCAAAAACAATAATGGCTGCTGCTAATGAGGTTAGCGTAGATGCTGCAAGCATCATTTATATCGGAACTGGAGAGTTTTCCTTCATTGAAACAAGAGCAAAGAACGGCACTAAAGGCTTTTCTCTGGAAATGTTCCCCCATGATAGGCGATGACAGACAGATGGTTCTTCCGATCAATTGCAGAGTAGTTTTTGAAAGTGCCTGCCCTTTTACAAACAGTTTCTTATGACAACTTCCCAGAGGGTTCCATGTAACAAACGATCTGGCGCTCACAGTATGTTCAAGCCAAAAGTGTCCCCACCTCTGCCAAGGCTGCTGTAAACAGACTTCACTGCAGCTTTTTGTCACCACCTCCTACTGCTGTCGCCTGATCTTGTCCACTTTCCAGACGAGGTGCAGTTTATCTTGAACAAGCCCTCGCTTTATCTCACTCTCAAATTCAAAATCAAAGGGCTTTATTGGCATGAACAATAACATGCCAAAGCAGTTTAGAATTAATTCACACATTTCATATTACATATAGATATTAAATACATATAGTCATGATAAATTTTTTTGTCTGTTGATGCAGTCCATTCTTTTGTTGCTATACAGTATAATGTAATACAGTTACTCAATATCATATAAATCCATCCATAATTTTTTGGGGATCTTATGATGGTTGTGAGTCTCTATTTAGCTGCTAGAAGAGCTACTGTCATTTCTAGGAGTTTCTGGGATTAGAAAATGTGTTTTTGGATATTTCCCCATAGTGGAAATCTCAAAACTCAAAACAAAAAAAACCTTACCAGGTTGTAGTTCCTGCTTTGTCAGTCTGCGTGTCAAACCACTCTAGTTTACTTTGCTTGCTACCTGTTACCTTTCCAAATCCTATTTCTCCTCTTCCTGCAATTCCGTCTGCTCTCTTGTCTCTGTCTTCTGTCCTTTTGCCTCTCTGCCCTGGATCCCTGCTCAGCTCAGCTACAGTCTGGATCCCAGTAGCTTGGCTCAGTTTACCCTCTCCCTGGACAATGTTCAGCCTGGCATGTCCCCCCGAGTTCCTCATGCTCCCAGGCTCCCTCTCTGCTCAGCTGAATTCTGGCTTATATTCATCCCCTTAACTTATTACAATAATTTAAAGACTATTCACTTCGTTAGGGCACGATCACACATGCACAAATTCACCTATTTTCTTTGCATTGAGTTGAGTTGAGTAGTTACATTAGTTACTACTTCTTTGCATTGAGATAAATAAACTAAATGTGTCTGAAAAGAAAAAAATACTCTGATCTCCACCTTTATGTAGAATAATTGACTGACTCTCTGTGGTTCTGCAGGGAAGGTTGGTGACTGGAAGAACCATTTCACTGTGACCCAGAATGAACAGTTTGATGAAGGCTACAAGAAAAACATGAGGGACCCCACACTTCAGTTCTGCACTGAAATTTGAACAGTACTGGAGCGTATGTGAAGATTAATGGATATTGTGTGGCAAATCTGCAAGTTACTGTCTCTAATTTGGCAACTGATGTGTAGTATGTACCTAACTTGTTGCTGATGTTATATATGATTGGTATACATGCAATGAAGAGCAAAGGGTATTTTAGAAAAAAAAAAACAACTGTTCACAACATAGTTAAAGGTCCATTGTGTAACATTTAGGAGGACCTATAAGCAGAAATTTAAGATAATATTCATCGGTATGTTTTTAATAGTATATAATCACCTGAACATCACTTGTTGTGTTTTTGTTACCTTAAAATGAGCCATTTTTATCTACAGAGGGGTGAGTCACCTTCAATGGAAGTCACCAGGTTGAATCACAATGTTTCTACAGTAGCCCAGAACAGACAAACCAAACATTGGCTCTATAGAGGCATTCACAATTTCCCCACATTTCGCAGCCACCATAGTTTCTCCTTCAATTGGAAGGGGTGGGTGAAGTGAGGGAGTTGCAATGTGCAACTACACCGCTAGATGCCATTAGATCCTACTCACTGGTCCTTCAAATTAGTTTAAAATTTGGGGAAATCTGCTTATTCACTTTGTTGTGGAGATTTATATGAGAAGATATATCTGGAAATCGATCTTCTCAAAGAGAGCAAATAAGCTAATTTCCCCAAATGTCTAATTAATTTCTTTAATTAGGTTGTTGCTGTATGACTGCACTATTATTTATCTTTGATGCTCCTCTAAAGGACAATAAAGGTAAGTTTGTATTTGTTGCCAAAGGTATCGTACTTTGATCTGGATGACACTGGGGTTTATGAGGTACTGCTTTTATGTGAGCGACAAAATAATATAGAACTCAAACATCTGAATCATTCACCCTGTTTACTATTTCATTCTGTGTGTGCAAAGATTAAACTATTAAGACAAAAGTATAAAGTTTTTATTTTGTGTAAAACCTTGACAATTTTATATGACCTGATTTAAAGTTTGTCATTTGTCATTCATTTGTTTGGACATCGATTGTGCCTCTGGCCTGATAACAGTGGTTCACATGTTTGTCCAGTCAGAGTCAAAGGTGATAAAATTACACATTAGTATTAGTCATGTGACAGTATTTGCACAGCTACACTCCTTTTAGGAAATTGTGCAGCTTGTATTACACAACAAACTGACTTCTTCTTGTGGATGTTCCAGACACACCCACTTCTTTGGGAAACAACTTCTCAGCAGGGTGAGTGTGCAATTTGGCTACTTACTGAACTTGAATATTCACAAAAAGGAAAAAATATGCTGTGCTTGGAAATTATGTGACAGATCATTAACTGACCAGAGCAATTACATTTTAAATCTTCATGCCTCGAAAGTTACAGGTCATAGTGAACATGTTTCCGAGACACTTTAACTGTTTAATTCATGATTGTGTACTTGCTTGGATTAATGATAGAAAGGTGGAGGTACTCACCTCATTCACTATCTGGAGAGTGAACCAGAAAGATAAAGAAACTTATTATTAGATGTTGCCAGCAATGTTTTACTAAAGGTGAAAATGTTAAAAAGATTTGATTTGTTTCAACATAGGCTACCATTGTTCTTCTGTGTATTTCAATATCGTATTTGGTTTGGGTAGGGAACACTGAAAAGGATATGTTGCAATGTTTGTGTTTCCCTGTATTAGTAAGCCCCAGTGCACGTTTTACTGCTGTATGACTATTTACTATTGTACTAGTAATAATTGCAAATACTAGTTGCAATTTCATCATTTCTTATTTAGACTGGACTTAAGAATTGCTGATTTGTTTGTCAGTCCTGGCAGCATGGACAATATTCAAAACATCATATTGGTATTTTAAACTGTCAGATGGAGATGCCACCTCGACCAACACTGCTTGACTTCCATGGAGTCTCCATGACCAAATACTTCATTGACAACTGGGACAATGTACAGAACTTCAAAGCGAGACCAGATGATATCCTTATAGCTACTTACCCTAAAGCAGGTGGGGTTGTGTGTGTAAGAACTTGTAGCATCATAGTTATACTTTGAATCATGTTGTTATTTTGATTAATTCCCTGGATTGATATGTTACCTGTGTTCAGCCCACTGAACAGAATATATTTTTGTAATCTCAGGAACCACTTGGGTGTGTTACATCCTGGATCTTCTATATTTTGGGCAGACTTGTCCAGAGCGCCAGGCATCCGTTCCTCTTCACGAGAGAGTGCCGTTTCTGGAGCTCACCATACCTTCTCAACCCGCAGGTTGAATCATATGGTCACAATCACTCAGATGTTTTTATATTACCTTTTAAAAAAAGGTCTGAATGCAGATGTCACTGGATTTGTGCACTTCGCCTCCAACATTGTGACTGTTGTGTGTATTTTACCACAATAGTCACAATGAGTCACAGGGAGTGAGGTTAGTGACAGTGTACAAAGTCCTGAAACAGGACTTCGTAGGATCTGTCTCAGATCAGTTTATTTTGTGTTACACTCACATAGTGCAGACATTCTTTATTCTAAGAATAAATGAAAAACAACGATTGTATGAAAAATGAACTGGGAGTTGGCTGATCTTTAGTGGCTTTAATCTATAGATCAGATTTAGATAAATATAAATAATAATAATAATAATAATATAATAATATAAATAAAAAATATAATAGAATCACAACATTATGCCAAAATATGTCTGCACACATGCAAAATAAAGTGCATACACATAAACTAACAGAATTAAGTGAGTGGACAATTACATATAAATCCAAAATATCCAATGTGACATTTGCACACACTCATGAGTCACCACAATGTTTCTGGCCACTGGGGCAACAGAAACAACAAAATATCATCATCTTTTGCTGATATACTGATTTTAGCAGTAAACAGTTACGGTTACAGAGCAAAAT